ATTCATTCATTCATTCATTCATTCATTCATGGTGTGTTTCTTTACTTCGTTACTTCCCGCAGGTTTGTTCCAAGCCGCGGGTGGCTGGAAGAGAGGCCCCCCCGGGGGGCCTTTCGTTCGAGACTGTTGCTTCCGAACCAGCAGAAAAGACACAAGCGACCCCCCAAAAAAAGACACAAGTGAACCCCAAAAAAAAGACACAGGTGACCCCCCTTCCGTTTCACACTGGCTCTTCCCACTTCAAGTGCGGCGCTTCCGCTGAACTTTCGTGTCCTGTTGTGCTTCCTCGTGCAAACTGAACGACTTCGGGGACTCACTCGGAACTGGACTACGGAACAAACCTGAATCACAATTCCTGAATCATAATTTCTCATGCTCGCGGCTCCGTGCCTTGCCGGTTCTGTGCCATGCTACAGTGCGTCAGGTTGTTTAAACCTCTGTTCCGGGTTTCGGGCTTATGGTTTATGGTGCTTGGGGTTAAAATCGGTTTGTGTCGGATTGAGGGTTTGTGAGTTCAGTCCAAGTTCTAAATTAACCTGCCGTTGACTTGTGTCCGTGGCGAGGCTTCTATGTGCCATGCCGCAGGGCTTGTGTCGTGATAATCAGGCCCATTGTTGGCACTGCCGAATAGTCTTGAGAGTGCGCCCAGCCCGTTTGCTGCGTGGCAAATAAGCTAGCACATGAAGAAAATCAACCTGACATAGAAGCCACCGTTTTGCATTCTGCACTACTTTAAACCAGATGAAAACAATCCAATCACATTGGTGGCTAGCTGACACGACTTGCGGGCATGCTCCAACGCACGACAACGACGAATGCTGGGAGCAGAGAAACCCTTCGCGAATGGGTTTTTTGTTCCCAAAAACCATCAAATGTCCTAGAAACCATTTGCGAATGGGTTTTTTCCTGCTCCCAGAAACCACGGTCTCAGAACTGGCTCCCAAAAACCATTCGCGAAGCGAATGGTTTTTCTGCGCCCCCAGAAAAACCATTCGCGAATTGTTTCTGGGAGTTTCTGGGAGCAGAAAAACCAGTCGCGAATGGTTCTTAGAAAAACAATTCGCGAATGGTTTCTGGGAGCAGAAGAACCATTCGCGATTTCTGGAGCAGTAGAAAAAACAAACCATTTGCGAATGGTTTCTGGATGCAGACAAACCATTTGAAAGTGGTTTCTGGTAGCAGCAAAACCAATTGCGAATTGTTTCTGGGAGTGTTTTTGGGAACAGAAAACCATTCGCGAATGGTTTCTGGAGGCAGAAAAACCATCCGCGAAAGGATTAGCGCGCAAAAAAAACATTCGCAAATGGTTTCTGGGAGCAGAACAACCATTTGCGAATGGTTTCTGGGAGCAGAAGAACCTTTCGCGAATGGCTTTTTTGGGCAGAAAACGATTTGCGAAGGGTTTCTAAGAGCAGAAAAACAAACCATTCGTGAATGGTTTCTGTAAGCAGAAAAACAATTTGCGAATGGTTTCTGGGAGCAGAAAAACCATTTGCGAATGGTTTCTAGGAGCAGAAAAACCATTCGCGAATGGTTTCTGGGAGCAGAAAAACCATTTGCGAATGGTTTCTGGGAGCAGAAAAACCATTTGCGAGTGGTTTCTAGGAGCAGAAAAACCATTCGCGAATGGTTTCTGGGAGCAGAAAAACCATTCGCGAATGGATTAGAAAAACAATTCGCGAATGGTTTCTGGAAGCAGAAAAATCATTCGCGCATGGTTTCTGGAAGCAGCAAAACCATTTGCGAGTGGTTTCTGGCAGCAGAAAAACCATTTGCGAATGGTTTCTGGGGGCAGAAAAACCATTCGTGAATGGTTTCTGGGAGTGGGAGCAGAAAAACCATTCGCAAATGTTTCTGGGAGCAGAAAAATCATTCGCTGAATGGATTCCGGGAGTAGCGGAAAAACCATTCGCGAATTGTTTTTGGGAGCGAGTTCTGAAAGCGTGGTTTCTGGGAGCAGAAAAAAACTCATTCGCGAATGGTTTCTAGGACATTCGCGAATGATTTCTGGAAGCATAAAAAACCATTCGCGAATGGTTTCTGGGAACAAAAAACCCATTCGCGAAGGGTTTCTCTGCTCTCTGCTCTCTGCTCCCAGAAACCATTCGCGAATGGTTTTTCTGCTCCCAGAAACCATTCGCGAATCGTTTTTTCGATGCTATTGAGCAGCACTTCCGTAAGATGGTCTTGCCATACCGAGCCGCAACTGCACATGTGGTGAAACACGATGCGCACTCCCGGCTTGCGACCACAAGCTGCTCAACCAATCAACTGGGCGGCAGACTGCGACGAAGCAACAAGTCCGCCTGCATTGGACTGCAAGATTTCGTCAAGCTCTCCAAGCTCTAAAGATCTTCTTCGCAGCAACAATGGTAAAGTTTGGTCTCATAGAGTAAACTCACGCTTCTGAGCGACGCACAAAAAAGGTGCAAAGACATTCCAATTGCTGTCGACACATGCTCCGCGTTCCGAACCGTGCCAAATTTTTAAATAATTTACTCAACAAAGCTTTCATGAAAATCTTCCTTTTTGGGAAGCTGGTGAAGTTACGAAGCTCAGTTTTGTTTTTGCGGATGTGGGCCTTGTTGACAGTGTCAGCTGCACTCGGTTCCAAGCTGAACCAACACTATGAGCGGTAAAACAAGAGCTCAGAGCAGGTTTACAATCTACGAAGTTGCCCTGTTCAGAACGCTACGCTGTGCAGAAACGCAGAAGCAGCGAAGAGCCGTCATCCAGTTGCCATCCGAAGCAGCGGTCGATTCCCAACCCAAAAGTCTCTGGCCATCGTTTTTCTCGTCGGAGCAACCTGTTTCCGCACAACAAAGTCATAGCCAAGTCACACCAGTGGCGTACACGCCTTAAAGCCTTAAGACAGTTTCTTACTCGTGCGAACAGAAACAATTCGGACAGACACCAAAGTACAAGAGCCTTGACGCAAGCTCATCACAACCAAGCCACCGATTCCCGCTACTCAGCATCAGCACAAAAAGAGCAGTAAAAACGTACAACGGCCAAAGAACTGGCACTGGTGCCAGATGCATGCCGTGCTAGGACTGTTCTGCAGTGGTGTTTGTTTTGCATTTTCTGGTTTCAAGCAACTGTGCATCTCCAGTAGCAAGGAAGGCTGGAGTCCATTTACTGGCGTGGAAGAGAGGCGGCCCGTTTCTCGATGGTGCAGTTGAAAAATCAGTCGAGAACAACGGAGACTGACTTAAACAGCCCACTGTAGAAAATGTTTAAAGTTCGAAAAGTCAAGCCGACTTAGATCGAAGAGAGCGTTACAAATATTTCATTTCTGGACATGTTGTAGACTGTTTCACTTTGCTTTATGTGGGCTCAAGAAAATCTTCGACTGCCACGCGCCGTCCGGTGAAAAGCAAAAGAGCGATCCGGTGATTTCAAGGGACCAAAAAGATTCGTTTGAGATTTTTATGATGACCATGATAAGTTGGTTGGTATTTTTCGCAAGAAGGATTGCAGTTGTGTCATTCTTGTTATCGCCTTGCCAGCAGTTGTTGGTACCTGGCATGCCGCTTCCATTGACTGGCTGCATGATTGCAGGTAACCTGTTTGGTGCCGTTTCGTTTCCAATGGGACAGTTCTGGATGACGGCACTTGATTTACCTCTGCTGTCTTCCATCAATCCAACACGGTTCCGGTCACAGTCACAGAATCGACAGGAAACAGTAAACATGGGGTCCAAGTCCATGTCGTCAAGCGGACTAACCTGGTGCAGAATCTCTCCAGCGGGACATGACCTAAGAACATTCCATCTCGTATTTTCAGAACTCAATTATTTCTAAAGCGTTGCTCCAAGAAAATCACCAGCGCGCCGGATGTGGCAAGTGTCCACTCTGGACTAACCTTCCAACGACTCAGAAAAGCGCAATAGGAGGGAACTCGTCCCTGCAAGTTGAAAGCGGTGCAATCCAAATCGAACAAAGTCCGGGAGGGGGAGAGGGTTAGAACCCAAGTTCAACCCAGGTTGGAACTCTTTGGAGCTGGAAGGTGGGAGGGAGGGAGACACCAGGTTCAAACCCAGGTTCAACCCATGCAAGCTAAAGAAGGTCAAGAGCCGTTTTCGTGGAGCCAGGCTTGTCGTGTTTCTTTGGCCTACATCACCAAATCCCGGTGCACAAAGGATCTGCTCTGTTTTTTCGAGAAGAAGACTCCACGGGCAATTCATCCAAGTGGAAGCGAGGTCTTAAGAATCGGCGAAAGAACAACCGGAGAATGATGTCGTGGTGCAACGTTTTGATGCTTTTAAAAAGCAAGGCGACGGAAAAAAGCGTTCTCGTGTTGTGTGGCTAAAAGCTACCTTTCTTTGTTTTTTGCAAAGCGTTCTCGACGTCAGGTTTTTGAATTCAGGTATCTGGGCCGTTTTGTTTGATTTCTTTATCTTCTTTTTGTTCTTGTGTGGCTTTCACCTTTTGTGTTTGGAAGAGCGTTTTGAACCCAGGTTTGAAAATGGATTTGGTTTTATTTTCTTCGAATGTCTGTTTCTTTCTTGTGTGGCTCCTTTTTCTTTATCTCTGCGTTTTGAGACCCCATTGGTGTGGCTTTCTCTTTTGTGGAGCGGTGACTGGGTTCAACCGTTTGAGCGGATTGAATTCGAGTTGAATCCAGGTCCTGGGTTGAACCTTTCAAAATAAAAGAAAGTTCATATCTGGGTTCACGGACCTTGGTGTCCAAATCAAACCTTGACAAGCCGCCGACAAAAAAGTTTTTGTGCAGGCTTGCCCACGCTTGCCTGGCCCCT